CTATCTTGAAAACATATAACATTCCACACAGCCAGGTGGTTATGGTTGTGGAGGTGGTGGTGGTGGTGGTGCAGATGGTTAATGATGATGATGATGATGATGATGATGATGGTGATGTTATTGCTGTTGTTGTTGTTGTTGTTGTTGTTGTTGTTGTTGTTGTTGTTGTTGTTGTTTAATCCAGTAACCGTTGAGTGTGTCTTCAACATAATTTATTGTTCCTTGTTAGAGTACGAGTATATTATTGTATTATCAGTGGCAAGGATGAGAGACGAAAGTTTAGGCACATTGATTTGTTGATAGAATATTATTGTTATAGATGATGACCTCCACCCTCCCCAATCTCTACCCATCTCGGTAGTTTGAATCATTTAGGAGATGGGATGCTTCGGTTATGTAGAACGGGGCCACCGGGCGTATGTGAGATATACATGTACATCACATTGCTGAAAGATTTTCGACAAATTGTGCACCCACACGAAAGTCAAATCCAGGCTTTTGCACTCTATCAATTATTATAAGGCATGGAGGCAAACCTGCACACCACAGAAATCGAAGTCTGGGAACACAACACGAGTTCTGTCTAAATAATATACTTGTTTTACAGCATAAAATACCATTTCAACCTTAATCCAACTCAGTTGGTATAATTTTGTAGCATACAATACTGTGACTTACCATACCATAATATTATTAAGTTTCAGTTTGGTAAAAGTGTTACGACGCTCTCAACTATGTGCTAGGCTATACGAGCGGGCATACCATAATAAGCCGTGTAATAGCAAAGCATGCTGATCAATATTAGCCATATTAATATTATTGTATTTGCTCAACCACGAAATCGTATACCTTTTCATTTTTCACTATATCATATCTCATTTAGCATAAATTTCTACAGAATGATGCAATTTGTTGTTGTGAATGGAATCTTGCGGTTAGACTGTCGGACTCGTATTATGACTTTGCAGGTTGACAGATTCGAGGGTTCGCGCTGACATTGTGTCCAGATAATAAAACATGTTGAGTTTGCTGGTGATTGGTTGTTTTAGCTAGACAAAATTAAATGCAATGTTTGTGTTGGCCCTTGCAGCCCCATGCGCGTATGATATTTTTAGCAGCGCTTTTGTACCTCCCACTGTCCCAAGAACGTATAGTCTCAGTTTCGGAGGGTACTGAAAAATTTGCGCCTTTGTTCGAAATTACCGTACTTAATTAAACTTTAATCTTCATAATATTTGTTCATTTACCTTTTGGTATTGTTAAATGTTATTATCTAAACCGCATTACAAATATACTACATCACTTTTTAGAATGCATGCCTCTTTTACTGAAATACTGCTGCATTGGCTGGAACTGGGGTTAGGGAGTGCACAAAAAATAATGACTGGGACTGGAAGGGTTAATATTATTTTATATAGTGCCATACCACACCCAATAATGCAACACCCAGCCCCACTACAACACATATTGTCAACTCACTGTTAAAAGGTTCCATACTGTAACCAAAAACACCCAACCCAAAAAAAGCAGTGAGCTTTGGAGTCCACCTGGGCAAAATTCAAAATAAATTCCTACCAAACTGAAAATATTCTAATCAGTACCTGACCAACAATAATTCATTTATAGAGTCACCAGCCATTCATTTTTATGTGCTGTTTTAGCCTCTCTAATTAGTATAAAAACGTATAGAGTACTTTCGAAATCGGAGTGGGGCTGCCTGAAAGAGAGGGACATCTGCTTATTAAGAAAACAGCATTACTGGTCACATGCGTATAAATCAGTTGCACTGCAGGTTGAAGAACCCCTCAGATCTAGCAGGGGAACGAAAAGGAAGAAGAAGATCTCAACACAGTATACGAAACAGAATAACACCCCACCAAATTATCATGAGCTGAATGTTATTTTTATATTCTCTCCAACTTCTGACTTTTATTAGTATTTCCTCTTCAAATGTGAGCATATCAAACTGAAATGTGATATAGTTAGGTAAAATGTGACATAGGGAGGCTAAACGTCGCGTGCAGTTTCAAATATGAACATAGAAAGTGCAAATTTGCACACAGTGCGTTCAAATGTGAAATTTGTCTTTTCAAATGTATATGCAGAAACAATTAATGTTACATTGCAAGTGAAAATGTAACAATTAAGGCTGTAAAAGGTTTTAAAACAATTTTTCCTCCTCCTTCTCCTCCTCCCCCTCTTCCAAACCAAGCCACTTCAAGCGGCAGCACGCGACTACGTCATGACCTTCGACTCCACTCGAACGCGACATTGCGATACACTACATACATCACTCTCCGCCAAACCAAACTGAGCCAAAACATACTACGGCAACACACCATGACAACGGGTAGCTGGCTGGTGCTGTGGTGTGGTTTGCTCCTTCTTTCCTATCTTTCTTATCTCTCTTCCTTTTTTGTATGTTTGTTACTTTCTTGTAACACTTCTAATCATCGGCACTTATATGACCTAATTGTGTTGCAAGCGCCGTACAACTCTTACCAAAACTAAACAAAAAGCACCATGATACCAAAGTCAACATTACTATATCACACAATATCACACCTCAGCTCACCACCTCAAGCGACGTCAAAATTCAAAATCAATTCCTACCAAACTGGATTGATATGTCCCGACATCTCGTATGACCTTTTTGCTCTTGCAAATGCCGTAAAACACTTACCAAAAAAAGCGACGTCACACCATGTAAAAGCTTTCAATGCCATACCACAATTATTTGTTCCTCCCACTCCCCTATCACCCTTCTTTTTCTTCTTCTTCTTCTTCTTCTTCTTCTTCTTCTTCTTCTTCTTCTTCTTCTTCCTCTTCTTCTTCTCAACCTCGTCCTCGTCATCATCATTATTATAATAATTGTATTTGTTTTTTGTTTGTTTTTTCAAATGAATAGGTATACCTATGCTCTTCCATTGGAGATCATCTACATGAATCCTCTCCAGTCTTGGAACCCATTCAACCTGGAAACCAATATGGTAAGTCCGTTGGTGACTAAATTCTTTGAATCATCATCATCATCATCATCATCATCATCATCATCATCATCATCATCATCATCATCATCATCATCATCATCATCATCATCATCATCATCATCCACGGGGCTCCAGAGGCTAAGTGAGTATTGAGTTTAGACTCAAGAGTAAAGTCAAGCGAATGTAGGTGACACGGGGATCAGATGGGCGGTCACTGGGGTGTGCCCTTTAGAAAGACACGACAACCCCAGCTCGAAAAACAGGGCATGGTTGTGAAATTGTTCTGGAGCAGAGTCACATACGCGAGATCCACCCCAAACGCAGCTTTGGACTTTGACCACCGTCCTGTTATCCTATTTACAAAGTTGCAGAGAGAAAAAAGAAAAGGAAAAAGAAAAGGGAACAGACGCCACAGACAGATAATTTAAGAAAGCTTTAGAAGGAAGTAGTACAACAGGAAATGGAGACAGAAGTCACACAAGCTGGAAGAAGTAGACAGCTCAAAATTCACAGCAGAAGAAACCTGGTCAGTTTTGAAGACCACACTGACAGAGACACTCAGTAAAGCCTGCGGTACGAAGAACACCGGAAGAGGGCAGGCGAAGCAGACCGCTTGGTGGAATGATACAGTAAAGGAGGCCATCAAAGAAAAATTAGTTGTTCAAGGTGTGAGTAAAACAACGCTAGATGAGGAGAAATTGAGACTAAATTACACAAAGCTAACAGCGTCAGCTATCAGCTTGCCCCACTCCTCAAACATCCTAACATCCCCATTGAGATCAAAGCCAAGCTCATTAACTCTTTATCCCCACCTAGACCTACCAATGCCAGACATGGACATTGACCAAAAGTCTGGAACGTGAGATAACCACCTGCAAAACGAGATGTCTAAGGGAAACCGTCAACAAAACCAGACGGGACATGATCAGAAACAACAGGATCAGAGAAATGAAGGGAAAAACACCTATCTTCCACTACATTCAAGGGCAAACAATCACGTGGTTTTGGCATCTGACACGTATGGCACCTCACCAGCTTGTCAGTAAATAGTACACACACAAAATTAGGACACAAGGCAAGAGGAAGGCCAAGGAAGATGTGAAGGCTATCTTGAAAACATATAACATTCCACACAGCCAGACCATCCAACTTACTAGAGACTTTCTCCTCCAGACGCTCTGGAGGTACAGGAGGACGGATAAAGTAAACGTAAGTATATGTATAATAGGTGTATGTATTTATGTATATCTGTATTTATAAGTATGTATCTAAGTATCTATGCTTGCGATTGTAAAGCAAATTGCTTTTCTGGGATCATTAAAAATGTATTCTATTTTTTATTATTTATCATCATCATCATCATCATCATCATCATCATCATCATAATCATCATCATCATCATCATCATCATCATCATCATCATCAATATCAAGTTCAAGAAATCAGCCTCTTCCATATCATAGCTCAACAAGATTCAAAACTGAGCTAACAGCATGCCAGTGTCGTGAGTTGTCATGCCAATCTCGGCTCATCCCTGTTTCTCTTCTTCTCTCCTTCCTTTCAGACTGAGACTGATATCAGAGATCACGGCAGACGTATCGGGGGACCAGAGACCAGTAACGCCTACAAAGGAACCAGCGTAAAAAAGTACGCACTGGTGATGATGGTGATGATGAGGATAATGAGGAAGATGATGAGGATGAGGATGATGATGTGGTGGTGGAGGGGGGGGGGTGATGGTTGTGATGGAAATAGTTGTGGTGTTGGTGGTGGTATTGGTGATGGTGGTAGTGGTAGTAGAGGTTGAGATATTGGGGAAGGTGGGACTAGAAAATCCTACAATAGAACCAGCGAACACAAATATGATGAAGATGATGATAATGATCTTGATCATGATCATGATGGGTAGGTGGGTGAGTATGTGAGTGAGAGCGTAAGTGTGTGAGAGGGTAAATGTGTGAGTGAGCGTGTGCATATGTGGGTGAGTGGGTGAGTGGGAGAGTGGGTTGGTGAATGCATGGGTGTGTATGTGTGTGTGTGTGTGTGTGTGTGTGTGTGTGTGTGTGTGTGTGTGTGTGTGTGTATTTTGCTGGGTCGAGTATTTTCGTCTGTTTGGTCGGGTGTTGATTACCACTCAGCTTGAATTACCCATGATAGGCAGGTCGATAAAACATCCCGCCGCCTAAATAATCTAAATCGTGTCGACTGGGGCGTAAAATCATTACCATAAACAACTGAAATAATAATTAATCTTTTGAGAGTTAGACTGACAATCCCAATGTCAACCAGAGTCAAAACCACGACTTTTGATCTGAACAAAGAGATGATTGTTTTGGAGAGACATCAACAATTGCGTAGTGACATTCTGAGATAAAAGGAAATAAATTCACAACATTATCCCTCATATATATATA